AGGAAGCATGTCATGTGCAAGTGCCGTGAGCACAGGCGTGCGCGCAGCGTGCACATGTGCACGCAGACAGGCGTGCGCTGCGCCTCGTGTGCATGCGTGCAAGCAAGGTGTGTGCCAGCGCTGGGGGTACGCGTGTGTGTGCACCCAGCTTATGCGTGTCCACACAAAGTGTGTTTTGGTGCATGTGCGATGCGCCTGTGTGCGTGCACGGCGTGTCTGTGTCCGTGCAAAGCGGGTCTGTGTGTGTGTCCAAGCAGTGCGTGCGCGTGCTCTGTGTCCGTGTGCAATGCGTGCATGCATGCACAGGGCGTCCACGCAGTTTGTGTCCATGTACAGTGTATCCATGCACAATGCATGCATGTGTGCATGCACAGTGTGTGTATGCAGTGTGCGTGCATGCACAGTGTGCGTGCATGCACAGTGTGTATGTGCACACACAGCATGCATGCGTGCACAGCATGCGTGCGTGCTCTGCGTGTGCGTGCACAGTGCATATGTGCGCATACACAGCACGTGTGCATGCACATGTGCGTGCACAGTGTGTGTGTGTGTGCACAGCATGTGTGCATGCACAGTGCGTATGTGCTCACACAGTAAGCGTGCTTGCACAGCATGTGTGCATGCACAGCGTGCGTGTGTGCACAGTGTGTGTGCATGCACAGTGCGTGTTTCCCCGTACACAGCGTGCGTGCATGCACAGCGTGCATGCACAGTGCATACGTGCACATACACAGTGTGCGTGCATGCACAACGTGTGCATGCACAGTGTGTGTGTGCATAGCATGCGTGCACGCACAGTGCATATGTGCGCATACACAGCGTGCGTGCACGCACAGCCTCGTGCACAGTGTGTGTGTGTGTGCACAGCATGTGTGCATGCACAGTGCGTATGTGCTCACACAGTAAGCGTGCTTGCACAGCATGTGTGCATGCACAGCGTGCGTGTGTGCACAGTGTGTGTGCATGCACAGTGCGTGTTTCCCCGTACACAGCGTGCGTGCATGCACAGCGTGCATGCACAGTGCATACGTGCACATACACAGTGTGCGTGCATGCACAACGTGTGCATGCACAGTGTGTGTGTGCATAGCATGCGTGCACGCACAGTGCATATGTGCGCATACACAGCACGTGTGCATGCACATGTGCGTGCACAGTGTGTGTGTGTGTGCACAGCATGTGTGCATGCACAGTGCGTATGTGCTCACACAGTAAGCGTGCTTGCACAGCATGTGTGCATGCACAGCGTGCGTGTGTGCACAGTGTGTGTGCATGCACAGTGCGTGTTTCCCCGTACACAGCGTGCGTGCATGCACAGCGTGCATGCACAGTGCATACGTGCACATACACAGTGTGCGTGCATGCACAACGTGTGCATGCACAGTGTGTGTGTGCATAGCATGCGTGCACGCACAGTGCATATGTGCGCATACACAGCACGTGTGCATGCACATGTGCGTGCACAGTGTGTGTGTGTGTGCACAGCATGTGTGCATGCACAGTGCGTATGTGCTCACACAGTAAGCGTGCTTGCACAGCATGTGTGCATGCACAGCGTGCGTGTGTGCACAGTGTGTGTGCATGCACAGTGCGTGTTTCCCCGTACACAGCGTGCGTGCATGCACAGCGTGCATGCACAGTGCATACGTGCACATACACAGTGTGCGTGCATGCACAACGTGTGCATGCACAGTGTGTGTGTGCATAGCATGCGTGCACGCACAGTGCATATGTGCGCATACACAGCACGTGTGCATGCACATGTGCGTGCACAGTGTGTGTGTGTGTGCACAGCATGTGTGCATGCACAGTGCGTATGTGCTCACACAGTAAGCGTGCTTGCACAGCATGTGTGCATGCACAGCGTGCGTGTGTGCACAGTGTGTGTGCATGCACAGTGCGTGTTTCCCCGTACACAGCGTGCGTGCATGCACAGCGTGCATGCACAGTGCATACGTGCACATACACAGTGTGCGTGCATGCACAACGTGTGCATGCACAGTGTGTGTGTGCATAGCATGCGTGCACGCACAGTGCATATGTGCGCATACACAGCACGTGTGCATGCACATGTGCGTGCACAGTGTGTGTGTGTGTGCACAGCATGTGTGCATGCACAGTGCGTATGTGCTCACACAGTAAGCGTGCTTGCACAGCATGTGTGCATGCACAGCGTGCGTGTGTGCACAGTGTGTGTGCATGCACAGTGCGTGTTTCCCCGTACACAGCGTGCGTGCATGCACAGCGTGCATGCACAGTGCATACGTGCACATACACAGTGTGCGTGCATGCACAACGTGTGCATGCACAGTGTGTGTGTGCATAGCATGCGTGCACGCACAGTGCATATGTGCGCGGGGGGCTTCGCGCACGGCATTGCACCCGACATTGCATGGGGCGTGCGCAGGACATCGCGCAGGGCGTCGCATGGGGCATTGCACGGGGCGTTGCACGGGGCGTTGCACGCGATGTTGCACAGGGCATGCACAGGACATCGCGCAGGGCGTCGCACGGGGCATTGCATGGGGCATTGCACGCAATGTTGCACGGGGCGTGCACAGGACATCACATGGGGCATTGCACGCAATGTTGCACGGGGCGTGTGCAGGGCGTCGCATGGGACATAGCACGGGGTGTGCCCAGGATGTTGCACGGGGCGTTGCATGGGGCGTTGCACGTAATGTTGCACGGGGTGTGCACAGGGTGTTGCACGGGGCGTTGCACGGGACATTGCACAGAGCATGCGCAGGGCATCGCACGGGGCATTGCACACGGCCTTGCACGGAGTGTGGGCAGGATGTCGCGCAGGTCGTCGCATGGGGCATTGCACGGGGCGTGCGCAGGGTGTCGTGTGGGGCTTCGCATGGGGCATTGCATGGGGTGTGCACAGGGCTTCGCACGGGGCATTGCACGCGACGTTGCATGGGACGTGGGCAGGATGTTGCACAAGACATCACACACAATGTTGCGCGGGGTGTGCGCAGGGCATCGCGTGGGGTGTCACACAGGTCATTGCACACAACGTTGCACGGGGTGTCGCATGGGACATCGCACGTGACGTTGCACGGGGCGCATGCAGGACATCACATGGGGCGTTGCATGGGGCATTGCACACAACGTTGCACACGGGCTGTCGCACGGGGCATTGCATGCGGCGTCACACAGGGCATCGCACGGGGCATTGCACACAACGTTGCACACGGCGT